TTAACTTATACATAAGAATGCAAACATGCATGCATTTATGTGATGTTTGAACACGTATATACCCAGACTCAGGAAACAGATTTTGAGGGGCAGGAGAAGTGGAATGCAGACACAGTGATTTTTATTTTGGGCTTAGACCTTGCAGCTTGAAGATGGAGATAATAGGTGAAAAGGTGATTAGGTGACTAAAAATAATGGTTCCTGTTTGGCCTTGCAAATTAATTCTTGTGCTCTCTTCGGTAGCACATATACTAAAATTGGAACAATACAGAGAAGATTAGCATGGGCCCTGCGTAAATTAATTCTCCATATTCATATTCCACAGGTCATTGGTTCACACTGATGACAAATTAAACTGGACAAGTATTTTTCTTTTTGATCCAGGTAAATAATTCTGGATAAATGGTTCTTAAAGAAATTGGTAAGAAAACAAATTGGTTCCATATATCTGCAGGGCTTACATCTATATTCTCAAGAGAGCATCCAAGGCTTGTCTTTGCAGAGGGTTTATATCAGTGTTTGCTAGAGAAAAAGATACAGCATGAACTATAAAAATATATATGAATTTTGAAGATTGGCTTACGATGGCCACCCACAGAGTGCGATGAGGAGAAGTGCAGAGGGTCTGTTTGCACACTGGAGAGTAGAGGTTTCAGCTGAAGGTCTGGAACTCACTGCAGTGTCCAGTCATGGGTCAACATTGGAAAGTTGAAGAATCTATGCCAAAGTCTGAAGGGTCTGCCCCAGAAGCCAGACAGCCTGTGCTGGAAGCCAGAAAATGGTGTCCAGGGGAAGGCTGAGACTAGAGCTCCTCTAAAGGAGCAAGCAGATCGATCTGTTTTCCTTTCCCCTTTGTACCATCCAGGTGGCAAGCTGCCCTAGGCTGGGCCTCCCCCATCCTAGGGTTTGGAATTTGTGAGCCAATGTAGTTATGCTTCTTAAGTTGACACCATCCATCAACCATGGCAAGGATGAAATAAGGAGGGAAAAGCTGTGCTTTTCATCTTAATAGACAATTGAGAATCAATTGTGCAGCTGATCTCTGCTAGGAGGCTTCATAGTTCATTATCTTCTTGGTGCTTAGAATTGTAGCACTTCCATCTCACAAAGTGAGCACAAGAAGGCTCAAGATGAGTCATATGTGGCACAGAATTAAGTGGCACAGAAATGACTGAAACAAGTCTGCATTTAGGAAGGCCTCCATAATCCTTCTCTAGTATACTTCACGGGCAAACAAGTCAGGGAGCACTACAGAGTCTAAAGCCAAAAGAGCGCTTAGTCACTAGAGAACACTTCTTCCCAAAGTTATTTTTGTAGAATTCTGGGGAAGAATTATGTCTAGAATTGGAGGATCATGATAATGCTTTTCCTAACAAGCAGTCTTCAGAAGCAATGCCTGGAAAAGAAGTTTACAAGTCTTAACTGATGTTCTAGGGAAGGATTTCAGGAAGGGTAAAGTAGCCTAAAATGGACCCTAAAGGTGCTTCTAGGAGGAAAGTAGAATTGCCAGCTTATCTGATTTATCCAAGTGGATAATCAAATAAAGAAGCATTTTACAGAACTGATAACATGATTCATATAGTTGAAGAAGAAAAAAAAAGGAGAGATAATTATAGCAGAAAAAACCCACGAAACAAAACAAGCCATTATGATATGCTCCTTGGCTCAGCACTGCAATGTTTATGCAGCCAAAAGAGTAACTGTGCTGCAGTTCTCCTGGGAAGGCAGGAGAAGGGAGATAAGAGCAGGAGCGGACGAGGGAGGGATCTCTGGCAAACACCATCTTGATTTAAGTTACTCAGACAATTTCTGGGTAAAATTTCAACCCAAGGGGTGATCAGCTGAGACTCAAGATGGGCCAGGATAAGGATTTCTTTTTATGTATAATTCTCAAATTTATTCATTTTTTCAAAAAAATCTGTAATTTTAAACTTACATTTTGTTACAAGAAAAATGCCTAGGATGTAACTCCTCACAGTGTCAGTTAAAGCAAAAACTAACCAAAGAGACCTTATTATAAGTTTCTCTTTAAAAAGAATGTTGGAATGGAAGGAAGGAAGGAAGGAAGGAAGGAAGGAAGGAAGGAAGGAAGGAAGATCTGGATTTCTGTGAAGGTACCTTGAACTTGGGTGATTAAGAGAATGGAGATATCTATGACAGAAGAAGCTGGGGAGAGAAACAAAAGTGAGAGGAGGGACATGTGCTATAGCCCGAATGTGTCTCCTGAAGTTCATATGCTGAAACTTAAGCACAACTAGGATAGTATTAAGAGGTGGACTTTAAGAGAGTAAAGTAATAAGATGAGTATAAATAAGACGAGTATCTTTATAGAAAAGATGGAAGGAAGCATCCCTCTGCCTTTCCATCTCTGTCACTAAATGAAGACCCTGCATGAAGTCATCAGTAAAGAATGGGCTCTGCCAGCACTTGGTCTTGGACCTTGTAGACTCCAGAATTTGAAGAGTTTCTGTTGCTTATAAGTTACTCAGTCTTAGTGATTTTTGTTATAGTAGCACAGACTAACACACTAAGGAATTTGGCTTAATACAACAATGTTGGGTTTAAAATAATGATGGACTATCCCAGAGGGAATGTCTAGTTTGTAGTTGCAGAATAAAGCAAAGGAGCAAAGAAAGAGTAAAGCCTTGGAAAGAAGTTTTGATAATAGTATGTAAGTACAGGCTTGGAATCATTAATCAAGGAATAATGGAATTAATTACACTGAGCTCTCTAAGAAAAATAAAATTATAAAAAGACTAGAGAATTAAGGGTTAATCTTAGAAATCTCACGTTTCTCTGAGTGATTGGAGTCTGAGCTTGGTACTGCTCTTGCCTTGGTCCTGTGTGTCTTGGGTGAACTCTTTCTCTGTCTTTCAACAAGTTCAGCGTCATCCGCCTCCTGCGCCTTCCAGGGCTGCCACTCTATGTTGCCGCTTCAGCTCTCAGGCCAGATTCTCACACATGTAGCTGAACCACAGCGAGTGTTTTTCAGCCTCTTTCTCCCAATGGGGGTGGGGGTACTTATCATGCTGAGAGTTCCTAGTGTAAATTAGGTGAACACCTTTCCCCACCGTGCTCTTCCATCATGCCAGGCCCTGACACTTGCATTTCATCATTGCCTAGGGATCCTGCACTTTTCTTCATGTAAGACCCGGTAGACTGGATCCAAATGCCATGACCCAGAGCCTTGATATTCCTGCCTTGCTGTCCTGTGTCCCTTGCCTCCTTGATGTTCATGCTCTTATTTCAAGCCTGGTCTATTTTCACCTTCAGCTTCTTTTCCCACTGACTGCTAGCTGAAGTACTGGCATATTTCCAACACTGGGGAAAAATGGAGACTAGACTATTCTTGTCATGTCCTTCCACTGGTCTCGTGAGAAATGAGTCCTAACCAGGATTGCACACGTCTGTCGGGACTGTCTTATCTCCCTCTTTTCTTTTGGCTCTGTAGTCATCTCAGTGGGTTGAGTAGAGCTACTTTTCTCTGATGTCCCCACACAGCATGAAACTAGGAAGAGCCCTGAAAAAATTTCTTCCATTCTTTTGGACTGTGTTACAACCTGAAAATTTTTAGGTGTCCAATCCGAGGTGAAAATCTAGTTAAGAGGCCTAAATATTCCTAAAATGTCAGTTTTCCAGCCATAAGAAATGGTATGTTTTATATATTTTGAAAAAGTAAATGTAATAGAATTTTTTATTAGTTGTGGATTTTTTCTGACTTTCCAACCATTAATTACTAGTGGAATAGTTGGTAACTGTAATAGGAAATCTCATTTACCAGCTTTATTTACAGAAAATTATTTTTGAGTAGTGTGTGCTTATGAACCCAAATTCTAAGTGAACAAAAGGGTATAGAATAAAATGCAAGCCTGCTCACATCCTGTCTCAGTTTCCTACCTATGCTTCTTAGCACTTCTGTAATTCTTGCTGGTATGTTCTGGATATGCACGTGCACACACACACACACACACACACACACACACACAGATATACCAACCTTTATTTCTTTTCTTATTTTTTTACTTTTTAGTGTCTTAGAGGCTATTCCTAGCAGTTTACACATGACTGGGTTATTTTTAAAAGCAGCAGAGCATTCTGTTGTTTGAATACATATGATTTATTTAACCAACCATTAATAAATAAAATATGCTTGTGAGTTCATTAAAGATCATTGATGTTTTAAATGTAGGCTATTAAAATGACATCAGAATTAATATTTTTATACTCATTAATATGACAAAGAGAAAATGAATATAATAAATCCACGCAAGTATACTCTTAAGATAAATTTCTTTAAGTTTTATGTCCATGTAGCATTTTGATTTTATGGATGATGTTAAATTCCTCTCAGTTTATATTTTATCAGTCCCTGCCCAAATATGAAACATCTGTTCCTCAGAACCATTGGCCAGTTTTGCAACACAAAGAAGACTAACAACAAAGTTTCTGTAAAAGTTACCTCAGTAGAATGAACATTGATATTGTCAAATAGCAGAATATTTCCATTTAGAAAATGTTAAGGGTTTGATCTAAGGTTAGAATTAGCCCCAGGAACAACAAATGGAACAAATAACTCTGTAGAATGATTTAAGAAACTCTACAGGCCCACTTAGCAATTTTTTCCTTAATATCTTAATGATGTTGTCTACTAACATTGCCTAATAAAAGTGTGGTGTTTTCCAATTAATAAAACCCACTTAATCTATGTTATCTGATATTTGCCTCACAAAGAGTAAGGTATGGATGTTAATTGATTTGTTGAAAGTTACCAGAGTAGGAAATCAGAAATTTTTTCTTGCAATAAAAAGATGCACTGTAACATGCCGTGTTATATGTATTTTTTCCTTAGTTCTTTTCTTTATTTTTTCTTCAATTGGACCTTTCATATTCTTTCCCTGAAATTGTGAATTTAAAAGTTTATATTTTTAAGATACACATTTATTTATTTAATTTATTTATTTACTGGCACAGACTTTTAATGAACAAATTAGTCTAAAAAGTTGAAAGTAAATTCAAATTTTATGAAGTGAATAAAAAGTAAATGTATCAGGGTTTTTCATTTCCTAAACAAGAAATCTAGAAAACCCTTCACAAAGAAATATTTTGCAAGGAAACCAGCTCCCTAGTTCATCTGTCACTATGAATCTGAATTGAAACATCTGTGCTTGCTTATAATGTTTTCTCACTGTGCATTTTTGAGACATTCCTAATATATTTTTAGAAATACATGTGTACTCATTAAACAGTATTGTCTTACTACAATGCTTTATTTTATGGCTGACTATTCTCTAATCTTTTACTTCACATATGATTGGCTTTTAGAATTATATA